CATATGTGTAATCTAAAAACATCAAACTCCTAGAAATAAAAAGTAGATTATGGTTAAGAGGCTGGGGAAAGAAGGTGGGTGGAGAAAGGGAGATGTTGATTTAACCATCTGAAGTTTCAGTTAGCTAGGAGGAATAAGCTTTAGAGATCCATTACACTGAGTATGGTGGCTATAATAAACAATAATGCTCTTTAGATTTCAAAATTGCTAAAACAGTAGATTTTCAATATTTTATTTAAAAAATGATGCATACGTGAGATGGATTTGTAAAGTAGCTTGATTTAATCATTCCATAATACAAACATATATCAAAACACCACATTGTACTCCATTAATATGTACTGTAACTATTTGTCAATTAAAAGAGAAAGTTAGCCTCCTCAGGGAAACCTCTGTAGCCATCCTGTCTAGAGAAACCCTGCCCACATTAATCTCTGAGAGCACTCTGAGTGTTCCTTACTAGCACTATAACCTCTAGACCAGGACTGGTTGTGGTCTAGGGTTGGCAAAGGGTTTTTGTTTTGCTTTGTTTTTGCTATAGGATACATGCATTCATCAGAGAGAGTCAGAGAAAGAGGGAGAGAGGGAAAGTAAGAAGACACCTCCCATACTCCCTCCTCCTCCATTGTCCTTTGAGGGCATATGTGCCCAATGTTATTTTCAAGCCACTGAGTCTGGGACTCAGCACAGAGCCAGCCATGTGGGATCCATCTGCTTTAACCTTCACGCCAGCAAAGATTTTCAAGAGCAGTTACAGAAATCTTAAACATAAACTAAAAGTTTGATAAGCATTATAAACAAAAAGTTTCTAATATTTATCAAAACATCTACAGATTTATGTAACAGATTATATATATGTGTGTGTGTGTGTGTGTGTGTGTGTGTGTGTGTGTATAACATTATATTTTCCTCATGAGTAGGCATTTGGCAGCATAAAATAACTCTTAAAAAAAGTGAATTATTGGATCAATAGGTAGTGTGGAGCACTTTAACAAGTGCTGGATCCCACATGGGCACCTTTGTGGTTCTGGACCCAGTGGCTTGAGAATCATGCTTGGTGCATGTATGTGCATGGCCAAAGATCTGAGAAGGCAGTGAAGAAGAAGGGATTGCAGTGTGGCCATCCCCCTTGGGGGGATATTTCTCACTTTCCCTCTCTCTCTCTCTCTCTCTCTCTCTCTTTCTCTCTCAAGTGAGTGTACACATCATATAGCAAAAACTAAAAACAAGCAGTAACAACAAAATCCCCAAATATGTATAAATGTGTGTATACACATTTATATGTGTGTATGTATATGTGTGTGTGTGTATATATATATATATACACACACACACACACAGTGAGGAGCTATAGACTGTGATATACACACACACAGTGAGGAGCTATAGACTGTGATACACACACACACATATATATATA